CATAATATATTATGCCATTAAATATGACATTATTGCTAAAGTGATATTTTTACGATTCTTTCTTTCTTTATATGTATATATGTATATATATATATATATATATATAATTGCAGATTATCGATAAAAATTCAAAACTCCCTTATTGCTGCTTATTTTAACATTAATAAATATACAATATCTTTTGGAAACGTATAGGTACTGTTGTTGATAGGAAATATTGCTTAACAATTAAGAGAGGAAATATCGCATTCATTATTATTGCCAAATGATATCCGAGATATATATATATATATATATATATATATAAAACGTATTTTCTCGTATTATTAGTGTCAAAAGTTAGTAGTGTAAACAGCAATAAAGTGTTATATTTTAATAAATCAGAATATCATTGCTTCTAATAACACGATTAATCGTGATCAATAATATCACTTGATCAACAATGATTTGTTACTGCTTAACAAGATGGATTATTTATTTATTTATTTATTTATTTTTTTTTTTTTATCACTAGTATAATTATATTTTTTTTGAAATTGAAGAATAGGTTTAATAAAGTCTTTAATTTCGTAAACGAAATTTGTCCAAGAACAAATTAGATTTTCGAACTTTTAAGGCCTTAAAAATTTTAAAGCCTTATCAGAAAAATTTGTTCGTAAGGTTTTACAATATTATTATTTAATATTATGTTCCAATGTCAGACTCCTTTGTTTCATACTTAAAGCACATATAAACTGACAAAACCTTTGCGCTATTTTTTTTTTTTTTTTTTTTTTTTTTTTTCTTCGCTCTTGTCAAGCAACATATCAAAATTTATGATATGATATACAAACGAAATGTTTCATTTCATAATCTTGTTGTTCAGCATAATTTGTCACTTACTATTGATATTAATTCACGGATAAAGATATTTAAGAATATCAAAAAAAATTTGATTGTGATCGTGAAATTGAAAAAAATTTCGCATTTAATATGAATTTTGCACACTTCTCGTTAGTCACAGCCACTTTGACATTTTTCTCAGGTAGTTTTTAAAAATCATTATTGACTAATCGTAACGGCAAGATAAATTTTTATACTTTTTTTTTTATTAGATCGATATGAAAACACTGGATATTAAACAAAGATAGTACTTTCACTAAATATTACTTAAACGCCGAATTAGACTCTAGTAAATTATGATATAGTCGAACTTCTTATAAAAAATTGACAAAAGTTTGACTAATATTATATGGTATTAATATTAAAAATTTCTCCTATTATAATTTTTTTTTTGACTTCCTTTCGAATTCCAACGATCTTCGAGCTTTCAATTTTCATATTCACAATAATATAACAATAATTCATTAAAATGAATTACATATAGTAAATAAAATTAATAAATCAGATTCAAATAATATTAAAATTATCAACACCGAACTTTCCCTTTCTTCTGTCAAACTTTTATCCTTGCAAAATGCTAAACTCTAAAATATTAATTCCAAAATTTGTGTGGCTATTGACTAGCTGCCAAAAAATTCATTACTAATCAAAGACAGGAACATCCGGGAAATTCTTTATATCAAAGAGCTATTGAGAAAGAAATTTTTAAATGCATGTATATTCAAAATCACGCATATCCACTCTCATTCATTTTTATAATTTTTCTTTTAATTCTTATTAATTTGGATAATCTAAGATCTATTTTACATAGATCAAGTGCATAGTATGAGAGCCTTACAAATTAAAAATTATGAGTCATCATAAGTGTGAGAACTAGACAAAGAGTTGCCAAATTATGCATCCTAATATAATTTCATCGATACATACTAATAATGTTTTTTTTTTTTTTTTTTAATTAAAAATTTATTTAAATGCAGTAGCAACTTGTTGACAAGATGATTCTAGCGCATATTGCCACTCCACTCATACCACTAACACTAGTTCATTATTCAAGTCATTATTCTTTTTTTTTTTTTTTTTTAATTAAAAATTTTTTTAAATGCAGTAGCAACTTGTTGGCAAGATGATTCTAGCGCATATTGCCCCCCCCCTTATACCCCTAACACTAGTTCATTATTCAAGTCATTATTCTTTTTTTTTTTTTTTTATTTAAAAATTTTTTTAAATGCAGTAGCAACTTGTTGGCAAGATGATTCTAGCGCATATTGCCCCCCCCCTTATACCCCTAACACTAGTTCATTATTCAAGTCATTATTCTTTTTTTTTTTTTTTTTCTTTATTACTTACTAGATTTTAAACGCATATAACGCATTGCTTACACTTAAAAAAGATGGGCGATCAATAAAACTCGTATAAAATTGCTTAAGTTGCACGTGATTGCATGACTATTTATAAATAGGATGAGAATTATATTGTTATTTAATTAACTATTCATAAGTTAATAAATGAGTGGTGAGCGGCGTATATTTATAGTTTTATACACACAGGAGCGCAAAGGCAGCTAGACGATCGAACACTTATGGTTTGTTGTTCTTTCATTCTTTCGTTCTCCAATTCTTTCTTTCTTTCTTTCTTTTCTTTCTTTCTTTCTTTCTTTCTTTCTGTCTTTCTTTCTTTCTTTCCTTCCTTCTTTCTTTCATTCGTTCGTTCGTTCTTTCCTTTTCTTTCTTTCTTTCTGTCTTTTTTTTCTTTCTTCTTTTCTTTCTTTCTTGCTTACTCTCACTTTCTTAGTGCATTTCTCTTTCTACTTTTTTACTTACTCTGATCATTCACTTTTGCACTCGTTCAAACATTGCGCACATAAGAATTGAGAAAATATGTATACATAAAAATGTCGTGGCTCAGTAGCGATAATAGAAGTAATAGTAATAGTTTAATAGTAATAGTAGTAATAGTGATAGTATAGACATACTAGTAGAAGTAAAAGTATCAATGATAAATATAGTCAAACATGATAGTCTCATCTAATCAGAGCACAATGTGTTCTTTTTTCTTGTATTTCGTTTATGGCTAGTTACTAGAGAAATAGTGAGAAATTGGGTTGAGGCGTGCTGTGTGTATGTATGTGTATGTTTATATGTAATTCATAGGTATCGTTGGGGTAAGACACGAGTCAATACCTAACAAAAACCTTTCAAAATGTATTCTAAAAACATAGATAAGAGCATTCTGGGTTATGCTTCTCTGTTTTCTTTTGTACATGACGCTACATCTTTTTACAATCATAATTAAGAATTACTATCATAAATAAGAACTTGTAAAAAGTATACCTGGTACCGTGAATCGCGAAACTTCCTTTGTTAAAAAATCGTCATCCTGAATATTAGGGATGTCTACAAAAATCACCGAAAACTTGCATGAGGAGCGATAGCAGTCATCTTTTGAACGGTACTTAGGTTGTATTGCTGTGGCGGGATCGTAGTAATAATAATAGTGACAATGATGGTAACGGTAATTACGGTAATGATGATAATGATAAATTGCTGAATGGTCCACGGCAGGGGATCACTTGTCAGAACTTGGGCACTCTCCAGGTTGTTTCATTATACTATAATCTAGACGGTATTGAGCTGAAAGTAAAAATATTATTTATGACAAAAAAACGACATATGTAATAATATAATTAAATTTATATTAACTAATTTGATATAATTAAAATTTTCAAAAAAAAACTTATAAAATTTATAATATTTTAATTTATAATATTAAAAAAAAATTTATTATTATAAATCAAAATTTAGCTAATATAAGTATATTCAAATATACAAATAAGTGTAATATATATGCAAATATATGTATGCAGATTTAATTTTTTAATAAATTGTCCATTTGAAAATAAAAATAAAATAAAAATATAGAAATGAATTATGAAAAATCTTGTACCTTTTTTAGTAAGATCCTCCATAGTTTGATCTTTACAATCAACTGCAAGATGACTACTACTGCCACAATTATAACACGAAATTTTCGTTGGTGGGACGGCAGCCGGTGCATATGTTACAACTGGAGTAGGTGGCATGTATGGCGTCTGAACAGGTGTTGTAGCTGCATTTGGTGGAGGTGGTGGTGTTCCTCCCGAAGATGGATGTCCAGGATATTGATACATCATTTCACCATTAGGTTGATACGTAGTTGGATAAGTTGGCCTTGCATACGGTCCATGTGAGAAGTTAGAATAAATACCACTACTCGGTCTCAAAGCCGGGAAATGACCATGCGGCAAATATGTGACCTGCGAATGCGATGGTGGCGCGGGAAAGGAAACACATTGTGATAGATTTGGGGGTCCACCGCCGTTCACCATTTGATTTTTATGACGTATCACATGTGCCTGATTTCTTTTAGTACGTTGCCTTTCCGGGCCTGATTGTATAGGCTGTTGGGATACTGGATGTGAAACTGCACTTGTAGAATGTACTGGTGCAGAGCTAAGATGGTCAGTAACTGGTGGTGCATTGCTCTCACTTCCGCTCACCCACGGTGCTGCTGGAGGAGTTTCCGGCGGAGATCTACTACCAGTACTGTCGGAACTACTGCTCTGTGAACAATGCCTGCTGCCCTCAGGGTCTAACCTCAAGGCTTGTAATTGTGTTAAACAATATACGTGTTGAGCATTGCACCTAAAATATTTTAAAATATTATTAAAATCAAAGATTGATTTTTATGAATGCGTGAGTTTTTTTCTTACCTTGAGTATCGATTTTGTACCCCGGCAACAGGTAATGTAAGACAGGCATAACATGGTGCATTCTGTGCAGCATACATCGGTGGTGGTGCAGGATACATTTGTATTTGCGCAGGATCTAATGGTGGCATAGGATATCGCCGTAAATTAGGAGTAGCTGCATGATTATGATGATGATGCATCGCTGGATGCTGTTCCTGTAAGGGCATTGACTTACTGCTTTGATTTCCATTATCATTCAACATCTCCATTCCTGGTATAGCCTACATAAAAGTTTTGTAACATATTTATTAAATAGAAATTAATAATTAATAATATATTAATACATAACAAATATAAATTACTAATTATTACCTCATTTTCAGCTGGATCTACTACTGTATGTGTTGTGCTAGTAGTACTCTCTAATTTTTTGTCAGTGGAAATTTGATTTAAACCATTAGTGGTTTGACTTTTAACTATACTTCGCAATTGTCCTACAGCATTCGGCGTTAATCCTATTTCTCTCAAGTCCTCATCGCTCATTCTTCGAATCTATATAATATATTAACTATATTAAATATTAAATTATATAATATATTATATAATTATATTCACTAATGTCATAAAAATATTTTATTATATGTGTAGAATAAATACGAATTCGTAATTTAATCTAATAAAATGATGAATAATATGATTTAAATTAAAATTTTTTAATTTAATATATTTTAAATTAAGATTTTTTATCAAATGTTTTATGAAATTTCAAATTATTTACAATTCTATTATCTTACCTCATCAAGAGAAAAATTCTGCAAATTGCCTTTGAAATTTGGCATTTCCTTTCCTAATGTTTCTCGTAAAGAATCACCAGAAATTGAAGACCGCAACCGTGGTGGTGGTGGTTGTTTTGATTGAGGTGCTGCCGGAATTAAGGTAGAAGGGGTATTCTCGATGCTATTATGCCGTGAAAAAGTAGTAGAACTGCTGATAGACAAGGGAACAGAGCGTGATGGAAGCAATGGAGGTTGACTAGGATGACTTCTGTTCGTACCCAATGTGGGAAGTGGAGGAAGGGAATTGGCATTTGAGCTACAGATGCTTGTCTGACTGTTAGAGGCACTCGTTGACGTTGTTAAGGTATTTGAAGTAGATTGAGTCACTTGCGAAGAGGTGCGCGGCATTGTATTATTTCTGCGACCCATTGGGGAATTGCTGCGACTAGGAGATCGAGACTGGGATGGTGACGATTGACGGCTGACTAAGGGGGAAGGTGGATAAGCCAACATGTCGCCAGAGTGATACATCAGTTGATTCCCCATCATAACCTGACCTGTCCATGGTGGCATATGATTTACTGATGGAAAGCCAAGATGAAGGTATTGTGTTGCACCACCTGATCCCATTGGCATTTGTTCTGGAGTTGGCAGGCATAATCCAGGTGGAGGCATAGAAAGACCAGGAGGAACTCCAGTTACCATGGTATTATTTCTCATTGTCATTTCTCCTATAAAGATATTACATAAACAATTATTAATATANTGGAGCTATCATACAACTGCCCTGCATTTCTGTATCCATTAATCTTTCATTTGTATTTATACATGGCGTGCAACCCTATTATTGCAACAGATATAAAAATATAATTTAAAATAATATTTACAGTTTCTTCTTTTTAACTTTTATATTAAATTTTGAAATTAAAAAAGAATAGTACTTAATTATAAATATAATTTATTTAAAATAATCATTATATATTTATTTCCATAAATAAATAAATATAAAAATTTAAACATACTTGTGCTTGTTTATAGGATGAATTTGATTTTGAGAGATTCAAACGAGCTTCTTCTTCTTGAAGTTTAATGTAAATGTTACCAAAAACACTTTTCTGCTCATATGTAAATGCTGGATGATTTAAAGCCATTGTGTACAACAAAAGTAGCTCTTCTAGAGGTTGATCATCCGGTGTAAAGGTGGTCCCATTTAATAGATTGGAGATTTCTTGATAGTCAAAATTTGATAAATTCTTATATAAGATGACAGCACATGCATAATTACAAGAATGTAATAATGCCATATAGAGAGCAAGTTTCCTTCGTGTGCGTTTATCTGCCACACCTAAGGTTGTTAACTCGGCAAGATCAGAGGCACTGTTTGCATGATGTTCTGTGTCACGAAGATCATTGTAATCCCGTTTACCAATATCCTCTACACAAGTGCCAAGATATCGTACTTCAAATGGCAGGCACATATTTAATAATGTGCACATGACATCGATGCGTTTATAACTGCACACACATAAATATATTTTTTTATAAATAATAAACTTACTAAAAATATTCTTTTTTCATAAATATGAAATGTTTCTGTATAATCAGAGTTTTAAAAAATATAAAAATATACTTATATACAATACTAACATAATAACTAATATAATTAATTTATAAAAATTGTTAAATATTAAATTGGAATAAACAATAATTATTTACAATTAAGTAATCTTTCAAAATTATAAATATATAAATTTTAAATTATAATATTTTATATAATTTATATTAATATATAATATATATTTATATTTTTATTTATTGAAATTAGATTTAAATTTTTTTTATAAAATATTTTTACTTAAAAATTATTTT